TGTGGGCTCCCGTGCCTCCAGCCTCTCTGCTGTGAGCACCGGGGCCCTGGCCACAGCCCTTGCCCTGCCTGTCCCTCAGGTCCTGGCACCGACTCTCTGGCTCTTTACAAGGACTGTGGTTGCCAAAGCCTTAAGGACCCAACTTGGCAACCAAAGGAAAAGGGGTGAGAACTAACACTCAGCAGCACCAGCTGTGTGGGGAAAGGATCTAGAGTGCAGCTGGGGACACGGAGCCGCGGGGCTGGGGGGCAGGATGGTTAACAACCTGCTGCAGATCCACGGGTAGAGAGTGTTCAGAAATGCATTTGTCTGACCTCAGAGCCACATGGGGGAGGGGGAGGGGGAAGGGGAAGCTCCGCCTTTTCCCCAGTTCCTGCTTTAGGGCTGCTTTGAGCTAGGAGGGTGGTCGAGATGGACAACACAGATAAAAAATCTGTTGGGGGCCATCTGTCATTAGGCGCCCCTCCCCCCACCACATCCTATATAATAAAACCCTAATATGCAAATCGACTGAAAGGCAGAACAGCCAGTCATTATGACATACAGTGACCACCAGGGGGCAGATGCTCAACACAGGAGCTGCCCCCAGGTGGTCAGTGCACTCCGACAGGGGGCTCACCACTGGCGAGCACTGCAACGGTGGCAAGAGCCTCTGCCATCTCCACAGCAGCGCTAAGGACCCTGAGGGGAATGTCTGACTGCCGGCTTAGGGGAGTGGGCCTAAGCCAGCAGTCAGACACCTCCATTGGGATCCCGGACTGTGAGAGGGCATAGGCCAGGCTGAGGGACGCGTGCCCTCCCCGCCCCCCCCCCCCCCCCAGTGCATTTAGGACAGTCAATGGAAGAAAAGTGCATTCCTTCAAGCACGGAAAGGTGGGTCCCTCCTGCCCACCACAGAATAGCTCCAGGGTGGGGGTGGGGGTCCCCTCCCCCTTCCTGTGACCCCCCTGTGCCGTGGAATCTTATGAAACTGTATAAGAAGAATGAAAAGAACACACACATATTTTTTTTTAAGTACGAAGTTTATTTGATTAAATGACAATATATGAAGATATTTTAAACGGTAAGGCTTTATTCAGACAAAATGTAAATTTATTATAAATGTGACTATATAAAGCACTCATAAAATCCTCGCGTACTTTAAAACCAGGTTGCAAGTAAGTATAACAGTACCTGCAAGTAGTACTTAAAAGCAAGTTTCTTAAGCGACACTTCCAATTTGTCATCCTGCACGCACGAGGCATCTGGGGCTCTGTGACAACCAGGGCATGGCTGTCCTCAGGGAGACTGGGTCGTCCCTCGAGCAGAAGAGCACAACTGAAGCCGAGATTCCACGGCGACCTCCAGCTCACTACACAGCATCCTAGCCTTTCAAACCCTTGGGGATTGGGACGGGATAAGTGGGAACCGCTAGTCACTCTAGTTGAGGATAATCAGGAAAAGAGGCTGGGAAACCAGGATCGGACACAGGGAGGGGAGGGGACCACGAGGCATGGCTAGGCCAGAGGCTCCTACAGAGCAGGTTTAGAGACGACCAAGGAAATGAAGACAATAACAACACACACAACACAAAGCCAGTGGCTCCTCGGAGCTGCACCCTGGGGTCTGCAGGGAGGAGGGCACCAGGACCCCTAAGGCCAGACCTGACCACGTTCTCGGCTGGGCCACCACACACACACCCGAAGGAGCATCTTCCCGGGAGGGCGGAGTCAGGACCTGCGCCCCAGGAACAGGGCGGGGTGTGCGGGTCACATCCACTTCCGCCCCAAGGTTTTCCCAGCATCCAAGTTTCTTTGTTCTCGCGCCAAGACAGAGCCTGGGGATCAGCAGCTGCAAGTTATACAGCCGGAGACGCTTCACACCCGCGCTGGAGAACCGCAGGAAGAAGGGAGGTCTCCTAGTGCGGACGCTGCTGGTGGCAAAGGGACTCAGGCGGAACCGAACCGCAGGGGGGCCTGGAGAGACCCCGGAAAGCAAAGGATGGCAACCACAAAACAATGAGATAGCACCCGTTATGACAGTTTAAGATACATAAGCATCATCGAGGATCTATCTAGTGTCTGTGCTATTATTTTATAAATACAAATGCTTAGGAGGGCCCCAAAATATTACAAAATGACAACATACATTCTGGTGTGAATATAACACTCAACAGATTCATACAGCAGACTTGATGTTACACTTGAACATAGATGTGGGGTGATGGATAGAGTCATTTTTGCAGACCGTTTTCGGAGCCTTGGTCACACAAGGGAATACCAAAATCAGAGGAAGCATCTCATCTGGTGGCTTTGGCAACGAACATGTTTTTGGCTCTGCATGTATGCCTCCCTCATCCAAAGACACGCTGTTCGTTTGTATATTAGTGAGTGATTGAGTCCTCCAGGGAGCTTACACCCAGAGCGCTTCCCTGTCTCCTTAGCTGCTGCCTGTCTCTGTGGGACGGCCCCTCAGTGGCCTGGCTCCTTCCCCCTCCCCTCCTAACCCCCCCCCCCCCAAGGCAGGTGGTGTTCCTCTATAGGGCTGTATTTAAAAAGTTTCATGTTTCCCTTTCAGGCTAAGTGGCTCTTTAAAATCCCTAATCTTGAGGTCAGTCTTCTTATCCATGACAGGATGCATGTGCACAGGCTTACACAACACACATTTTCGTAAAAACAGTTAATGACTCCCTGTCACCTGACGTCAGCAGTGTGCTTTTGAAAGTAACCTCCCAACTCGTCCAGGTTGAGCATTAGAGACCCTCCCTGTCCGAGGAGAGAACGTGAGACAAACCTCAAGGGGGTTGGGGTCCGGGATCCCAAGGCCAAGGCTCTGTGCGCCCACAGAACATGAAAGCGCGGCCTCAGCGGAATCTACAACTACTGTCTCCTCAGGCCGGACGTCACATCTAAGGGCTCTGGGGGCTGACCCTGTCACTGCTCTTATGCCCGTGGGACCTCGGGGGTCTCCTCGGCCTGATCCAACAGGCGAGGGGAACAGTGTTAACACCATCCCCTCACAGCCACACGCGTGAGCTCAGGCACAGGCATGTGTATTCAACCCAATAAATACATCATCACGTCTTAAAGCCACGCTCGGCCGTTCCCCTCTGCTTCATTTCCCCAAAACAAATCTCTAAGGTAAGGTGACCCGACGTCCCGCTTTTGGCGGGACAGTTCTGATTTTTAACAATTTGTCCTGCAGCGTTTTTTTCCAAAATCGGGACTTTTTTTTAAAACGACTCGGGACAAATTGTTAAAAATCAGGACTGTCCCACCAAACGCGGGACGTCTGGTCACCTTAAGGCGCCGGAGGGGAGCAGAGCGCAGTCAGCCTTTTTGCGGGGATGTGGCTGTGCAAACCCTGGAGGGAGTGGCTGGGAGCTGGAGTCCCAGTCTATGCACGTTCTCTCCGAGAGGACCCGGCATGTAAACATACTCAAGTGAAAGGACTAAAATAATTAGCTTTAATTTTTAAAAAAAGGACCTAGGAAAATGACAGGGCAGCTTATTTACCTTCTCTAACAGATACTACTCCTTGGCAAGAAGTGCTTCTTTTGGCTCAACTCATCTGAAAACAGTTCCATTTGGAACTTTCCTTACCCAGTCACTCTAACAGGGCGCCTACTCAACGCTAGTTCTAGGACCGTGGTCGGCAAACTGCAGCTCGAGAGCCACATGCGGCTCTTTGGCCTCTTGAGTGTGGCTCGTCTGCAAAACATCACGTACCCTAATTAAGTTAATAACAATGTACCTACCTATATAGTTTTAAGTTTAAAAAACTTGGCTCTCAAAAGAAATTTCAGTCATTGTACTGTTGATGTTTGGCTCTGTTGACTGAGTTTGCCGACCACTGGCCTAGGGGATGAGACAAAACAAACACTGATGGGTATGAAGCCGCACAGCCGGTCAAGGGACTCCGCCCAAGGGACTCACACCCACCAGACTGACCGTGAGTCAAGCCAGCTCCTCGTTCCCCACCACCAGCCAAACACCACCATGTCCTAAAACACGGTTCTGGTGGAAAGGAGAGTGGAATCAAGGCCCTCACGGCAATAGCCAGGTTGGGTGTTCATGACACGGCCCGTGGCCATGTCCTTGGTATCTGTTAGAGAGACATTGACGTCTGGAAGGACAACCTGAAACTTCAGAATCCTGACGGAAGGATGGAGCTGCTCTGTGCGACTGGCTCGGCCACCTGACGCTCCTCTCCTCTCCACCTCAAGTGAAGTGTTTCCACCCCAGATGTGTGGTGAGAAGGCTCCGAACCCCAGGTGAGTGGCTGAAGGCTGACACTGGGCTCAGAACCACTTCCATCTGTTTATCTTCCCAGCGTTAGGTTTCAGTTCTAATGTATGACTAGCATAATGCAAGGGTAATGTGAGCGAAGTCTGATGCTTTGTTCAGTATCAAGCTATCTAACCAACGTCCACGGAAGGCAATCTAGTGGGGTCAAGTATCTGGCCTGGTAGAAAAATAAACACCAGTCGAATCACGTCTTTGTTTAACATTTTCCATCGAAAAAGTTGACTGAGCAAAGCCTGAGATTCCCTGCTTTTTAATGCCACTGCAATCTCCATTTCAAACTTGCATTGTGTGATAAAGCTATCGAATAGACAACGCCATCGCCATGACAGAGAAAAAACGGCCCGTGAGCAAAATGAACCACAGCCTTAAAAAGTAAGTGGGAAGGCATTTGAATGGACAGAACACGAAGGTTTTCAAAGTTAAAAGGATAGTGTATCTAGAAAATACTGTGAAAATATGTATCTCAAAATAGAACTAGCTTTAGTCAGAAGGCTCAGGAAAGCAACCACTTAAAAAGCTGACCCATACAAAAAAAAAAAGAGAGAGAGCTAAAACAGCCTTCCGACTTTCGACTCTTTCTCACTTGTCTGCCCTCAGACTGTACCGTTCCAATGCCCTAAAGTGGAATAATCTAAAAGCAGTGATAAAGTGCTGGTATTTTCCAGGATATCTTCAAGACCATTTCCATCTTGGTAACCTGGCTCTTCTCTCTGATCAAGGCAACTCACGGACTTTAAATGCTTTGGGTGACGCGGGTTCAAAGACTTCGTCATCGTCTTCCACCCCTTCTTCTATTGGCTTCATCTTGGCCGAGGCCCGCTGGTGTGGGGAGGACACATCTGTCGGAGACACAGAAAGGAAAGCCACTTAACGGGCAGCCTGTCCTGACGCGGACGAGATGCACCAGTTTCAAACTCCAACCAGGAAACAAAATCCCCTGGGAATCCATCGCTGGTCCCACAAATGGAGTTTCCGTTAACACTGTATTTTCAATCGAGCATTTCAATGAAACAACCAAGTCAGGATGTGGAACAAGCACTGTGTGTGCTTGTACGATGAGCTTCTCAAACACCCCAGTCCCTAGTGGGTTGCCCTAAAGTCTGTTTAGGAATCAGAATGTCCCTCCATGAATATCAGATATGGTTACTGGAGTCCCTAAAAAGCTGAGTGAACTCCTGATTTCCCTGCAGTATGGTTTTATTCTAAAACTCTTGACCCTCATACCACCTGTAGCACTTCCTAAAAGAACAGTTCTTGCCACGCTTTGGACTGACATGGAGATGGAGAGGGGGGGACAGCGGGGCAGGAAGAGGGTTCAGGCATGCAGGGGGAAGGGCCAGGTGGAGGAAATACAATCCCAAGGCATCCCAGGGCCTCAGAGGAGGCCGTTTAATCAAGGGAACCAAGCAATGAACTATTCATGCATCCAGTCCCTTATTCATTCACTCATTTACCAAAGGCATGTCCCAGAGAGGGACACCATGACTAATGCAGAAAAAATACTGTCTGGCCGAAACCGATTTGGCTCAGTAGATAGAGTGTCGGTCTGCGGAATGAAAGGTCCCAGGTTCGATTCCGGTCAAGGGCATGTATATTGGTTGTGGGCACATCCCCAGTAGGGGGTGTGCAGGAGGCAGCTGGTTGATGTTTCTCTCTCATCAATGTTTCTAGCTCTCTCTCCCTCTCCCTTCCTCTTTGTAAAAAATTAATAGAAAATATTTTTTAAAATTATAAAAAAAATATTGTCTGAAAGTAAGAGAACATATTGTAAATAGGTGCAGAGACTCCATGAGGTGCCTCATGAGCAGCTCACGTGACATCATAAGCACAGGATCCCCTCCACACAGTTCCCACATTCGATGTCAGGATCCACTGTGTCAGGGTCCCCTTGCCCACCCACACCTGTGCACATTCTTGCTTCCCCCACGCAGGACGGAGTGGTATTCAGCAAATGCTGAACTCGGGCTGGGCGTAAGGTTGATGATGGAAGAACAATGGGTGAAATCAGACTCTTCACATGTTTGCTGTACAGCAAAGGCAAGGAACAGGGTCTTATAAAGATAGGAATCAGAATGCCTACAAGAAATTTATACTGATCAGCCGTTCAACGTTGACAAGAGTCAGCAGCAGCCAGCAGGGCCAGCCAGCCGGGAGAGCAGGCTGCTGTCAGCGAGGAGGGTCGGGGACCAGCAGGGGGCGCCACGGCACAAGGCAGGTGGCCTGCACAGGGCTCAAGTTGCCGCCCTGCTGCTTCCTGCTGTGTGCCATGTGCTCCGTTACTATACCTCTCGGGGCCTCAGCTGCCCTCTCTGTGGAAAAGAGATATTCACAGGACCTGCCTTCTGGGGTTGTTGGGAGGATTAAACAAAAATATGCTTAGCAGGGTGCTGGGCAAATAGACAATATCATTTCTTATTCCAGTGGTTCTCAACCTTCCTAATGCCGCGACCCTTTAATACAATTCCTCATGTTGTGGTGACCCCCAACCATAAAATTATTTTCGTTGCTACTTCATAACTGTGATTTTGCTACTGTTATGAATTGTAATGTAAATATCTGTGTTTTCCGATGGTCTTAGGCGACCCACATGTTGAGAACCGCTGCTGTAGAGCCTAAGACCATCGGAAAACACAGGTTAAAGTTCATCATTACCCATAAGGATGGCAAAGAAAGGAAATGGGACTAGTGCTTGAATAGAGGTTTGTATTTCTCCATCTAAACTGGCCTGAGTGCAGCACAGTTGTCTTGTGGTTGTTTTTTAGTTTGTTTTCTTTCTACCAGTAGCCATGACTTCCATCATATTTCTATACTCAAGTTATGATTGATTCTCATGAAATATTAACTTAGGCTGAGTATTTGCAATCAGAAAAAAGTCCTCAGAACAAACAAGATAGCATGTCTAAGAGCAATGTGCCAAATCAATAATGTAGAGCATTCAGACATAATTGTATGCTACGCATAACAGAGACACGTCCAGTTTATTTTGATTGGGGAAGTGAGACCAATTGATCTCTACTTTTTAAGCTCGTCTATCAAAACGATCTACGGTATCCTGAGGCTGCTGCCTACATCGGGGACAAAATGTTCTGACCCTCCCACTACCTGCCTAATTGCTGCATTTCCCCACTGAGGGAAAGTGAAGAGAGGGCCCCAAACAACTGGAAGTGACCCAGGGAAAACTTTCCAAGAACTCTCAGTTTCTCTGTTCCCACTCTATTTGCCTGGGAAAGAAAGGGCTGTGGTGGTTACTCTAAAACATTACAAGGCAGTCAGGCCAGAGTCACCCACAGTCCTGGGCTGGCATTCCGGGGTCTCCAGAGAGGCCTCCTTCCCTTCTAGTCCACGCCCTGGCAAGCTCACTGACCCCCAATTCCAACCCATCCCTCTCTTTTTCTCCTCGTGCTTTTCTCTCCACCTGGGATGGTCTCTCCACTCCCATCCCTTCCCACCAAATTCCTATCCAGGCCTCAAGGTGGAGTTCAAACCCAACTCCATCACTTGTAATCTTCCCTAATTCCTTCTGTGGGGGATTCTACTCTTCTCCAAACAACCACAGCCCTTCTACCCCTGCACCACGCTGTGGTCCTAAGGATGACATCTCTCTCTTCCTGGAAAACAGCATCCCAAGGGCCGTGACCACAGCCCCTCTCTCCTGCAGCGTCACCGCAGCGCACCCCACACTAGCCAGGTCCCAAATACTTAGTACGTGAAAAAAAAACAAAAACAAAAAAACCCTCCTCTGAAACTAGGCCTTCAGAAAGCTGATTCTGAGGACATGGAAGAAACATAGGGCAATCACCTTTCATCTCTGATGAGTCAAACCCCGCCCCCTGTCCCCATGGGGCATAGCAGCATTCAAGCGTCAGCAGGTCTTGGGCCTACAGTAAGCCCTCACTATGGAAAGGGACTGTTACAGCACATAGATTCTGTGTCATGTTTCAAGGGAAATCACTTTCAAATAATTGGCTGATTTGACAGTGCTCACAGCAAAGAGTGCCGGCCGCCACGTAAACATCAATAAGGTACCTACAACCAAGTTTTCATCCAATCAGCCACCCAAATCTCTGAGCAATGGAAGGGATCAATGTTGGGGAAATAAAAAACAAATCGGATATAGTCTCTGACTCTCTTGTTTGCCAACACACTTTTCTGAGTAACTCATTCTCCTCGCAACCCTACTCATATTTCTACTTTACACCCAGAAGCTGAACCTGAACAAATGTGAAAGCAAACAGCAGGGGAGCCGCCTGGGGCACATGCCTTTCTCACCTGGGGATGAGCAGGTGGAAACAGTCTGGCAGGAAAGCCAGGTGGCCCCAGTGGCCCCAGGAGAGTGCATATTTCTCCTGAAGCTCTTTTCTCCTGGAGAGCACTAAAAGCACTTCATTTCAGGCTCTGCGGCTGGGTGAGAGCCCACAAGTCCCCAGGTCCCAGTTCCCACAACGGTGCCTGTTGCTCTTTCCCCACCAGCAGATGCACCTGAAGCTTTACAACAGAAAGTCGGTCTCCCTGTAACTGCCAGAAGCAGCCCAGCGCCAGCTGGCGGCCTGCGCTTGACAAGAATCACGGTGGCAGAGAGTGCTCACACTCTGTATCAACCGGTTAGCCTGGGCCTCCTGCACCTGAAGGACATTCACCTGGCCCCACCTGTCACTGCCACCGCCAGGAGAAAGGCAGGCTTCCAGGAGCAAGAGAAAGGAGCTCACCTGGCCCCCAGACGCGGTGCTCTCCAGCCTCAGCAGGACTCAGTGGGAAGAAAGAGCCCATCGCTACGCAGCTAGAAATCATTATTTTGTCTAATAAAATGTCCAAAACCCAATATCGAGTGTGAAAAGAGAGAGAGGAGAGAGAAAGAGAGAGAGAGAGGAGAGAGGGGGGGGGGGGATATTGTGCTCTAAGGGAATGATCTTCCATTTCACAAGCTGAACATTATTAAATTCTTTCTGCAAGTTTGCCTGCCTTTTTCATTAATTTTAGGCACTGATGCATCATCAGACACTTGCCCAGAAGGCCTTATATCTTACCTAGAGGTGAGAGCATGAGGAGAGAGGAAGAAATTGAGCTTATCTTTCATTAAGTGCTTTTCAAATTACTTTTGCCCCTCCAGGACATTGCTATGAGTTCATGACCTCAGTGTAATCTTTTTACTTTTCATTTGTTTCAAATTCAAGAAAGCAAATACGTCCATAGCCATACATTTTCCAGAAGACTGAGGTTCATCTTCTGTTACACCCACTTTTACAGTTGGGAGACAAAAGTGGTAAACTCTCTCCTTTGGTACTTATCATAATATAAAAGAGATAATTAGCATTAGGCCCCCCTCACCCCCCACTTTTCCAACCCAAAATTAAGAAATCGATATTTTAAACATTTTGCTGGTTTTCCTCTTAAGGCCTTCTTCTTTTCTGTCATCTTAAGGAGTTGTTCTTCCTGTTTTCTCCACTGTCTGATCATACACTCGGTAGGAGGAGTCCTAATTGACTCTCTGCAGCTCTATTTTCACACTCTTTTGCAAAGCTGATTACATTCAGTTTGAATTTTGAAGAGTAAGATAATCGCATACTGGTATTTATTATATTTTTATTTTTTGACATTTTTATGAGTTTAGAATGCCCCAGTCCCCGTTGCACCTGTGCACTCTCCATCTCCACCGACAATTAAGGCATCAGCTGAGGTCAGTAACAATAAGGCTCATGATTGGAGAAAGCCTGTTTGACAAGGTATGGGCAGCCACACCACCCCCCTCGACTCTCTCCTCGGCTGACTTACGTGTATAAGATGCCCTTTGATTTTCAGTCTAATGACTTTAGAAGAAAAAAAAAAAGGATCTTCTACACGG